TTGCCAGTATGTTATATTTTTCAACAGATGTACATGCCTAGTGAAGAAATTTTAACCCACTCATTCCTAGGAGTGAATTTCTCCTCACAATATCATTACATATTCTTAGGGAGGATGATGAGATTATCTATATCATCTTGGGGACATTGATTGACTGAGTTCCAAAATTCTCAGATGTAAAATTCTAAGAGAAAACCTGGCTAAGAGAATTGATGTGTAGATCTTGGGAATGGAACAGTTAACATAGAATTGTCACTCGACATCTCCAATTTTGTTTTTCACATGGAAACTATTCTTTGAAATTTAATTGTCATCAATCTGCCATGTTTTTACAGCTGCACTTAAATGGTGCATCTTTCATTCACAAAAAGTTATTATAGAACTGAGCAGATCAATGTTGTGAACCAAGGGGTCAATATGCACATTCCATGTATCTATGAGTAAACAATGAATGTGAAGGATGATAATGGATTAAGCTATTTATCTGTTACTCACCATCATAACTGAAAAATCCACCAGCCAAGAAGGTTGCACTGGTACAGCTTGTGTTATGCCATGTGACCGTATTTGTTGACTTTCAAAGATGACTTGAGCCAACACTCTACTGTAGATAAATTCGTGAGTCAGGAATAAGAATGTTGTAATGAATGTGATCCTATCCTAATAAATTTACATGTTTGTACCTCTTGTGGTTGCATAACATGATTTGTGCAAAGCAGTGTGTTCAAACATTCAGTATGATTTCTCAAAATCATTAAGTACACTGTACCTTGTTTGAAGGGTAGATACGTCATCAGACACCTTTAAAATTAATGATAATTCAGCTTTGAATTAAAACCTGTTATCTGCTGTGGCAATGAAGGAGCACCTAACCCTTAAACTCCCAGAAGTGATTAACATGTAACTTCTCACTATAACATCCATACATTATCCAGCAAACAGGTAATGAGAATACTCGAACTTATCACACAGGTAGAAATTGTTACCTTGATCTAACACCAAATTCTCCTTACTAAATTCATAAGGAAATGTCTAGCAGCTAGCCGTGAGAGGGGACTATTTGCAATCAAATCTTGAGACTTAAATTGTTAAAGTTTCTTAAAGTTACTATAAGCAAGTTGATCAAACAGACAACAACCATGAGATTCATTGCCTAATGTTTTAACTTCGATCTTTTGTAATATATCATGCAAGTATTATTGAATAGTATTATCTACATTCATGTGTAATGCATGTGCATGTAGCTTCAATTTTATGACCCAGGGACATAATTGTACTAGTTATTAATGTTTTTTATTTTTTGTTATCTAACTTGTACACTTTCAATTTATATTACAAATGGCCCCTTTGTCATTAGTTTTATTACTCTCATGTGCTGCTCACTTGACTAATTGTCCAGTATCCCTTCCCTGGTGTGGTGAGATTATGCATCTTGTTGACAATACACATGTGACCTGATGCATAAGGTTCATTGGGGAAAATGCGATTCCTTTTTGACTTGGGGGCATGTATATAAGTTTGGCCAAGGTGGGGGAAGAGTTGAATTTTGGTTAGAGATAAAATTTATATTACAAGTTTGCCATTATTGAGGAAATGTTGGTATGGAGTTACATTTATAAAAGGCTCCTCTCACCTCCAGGTCCATTATCAGAGACTGTGAAAATGTGGCCAAAAGAATGTCCCTAAAATGAGGTGGCAAGACAGGGTAAGTTCACGCCTCAGTTTATTTACAGTTCACTGTCTACTGTGAACTTGTTTCCAAAAACTACCATGTAATAAGTGTAATACTTCATGTGTAATATTCCATGCATCCATGTATAAGAATCCAAGTAAAATATAACTATTTGTATTAACTTTACAGTCCAACCTGTATGAAGGGGTCACCCAATGTAATGGAAATGGCATGGTGACTGCT